TGAAAAAATTTGGGCCTGACACCGTAATATCCTCTATTAAGCCTCTCCCCCCGCCTCCTTCCCCCCTTGTTTTCACAACCAAATTAATACATGATAGACTCTATAGATATATAACGACTGTAGCACTTCATGTTGGACTGATCCTGTACGGTTTATTCACGTGCTGGAAGTTCGAATGTTTTTTATCTTTTGCTGCATAACTTCGTGTCCTTGAGGTTTTCCAGTTTGTATTCTAGTTGTTAGTGGAGAATTAATACGATCTTCTGGTTGTTTGAAAAAGTAGTATAAGGCCCCTCATCTAAATTGAATAACCCCCCCCCTCCTGTTAAATAACCCCTCTCTCTTTATTAAGTCCCCCCACCTTCTTTAAAATAAGCCCCTTACCTCCGGGGGTGGGGGGGGGGGGGGGGAAAAAACAATTTTGTTTTCTTTAAACACCCCCAGGGGTCATGGAAGTGGGGGGTTTTTCAGATGCCTCCAAAGATGGGGAGGGAACACGTCTGAACCCCACGAAACTCCCAATCTGGCGTTTTGAAAAGCATAATTATGTTTTTTCTTTCATTCATTGCCATGGAATATGCGTTTACATTGTTTTTTCACTGTTAATAGCTCGGTTAATGCGGCTGGCGATCATCTTGCCGGCGGAAGTTTCATGGCCTGAGAGGATCAAAGTGAAATACTTTTCCTGTGTAATACGTAATCAGCCTCTGTGGTGCAGTGGTTAGAGGTAGTCGCGTCGAGCCGAAGGTGCAGGGTTCGAGTCCCACCGAATCTTAATACCTTCTTTCTTTTTTTTTTTCCGTTTTTTTTGTGTTGTTGTTTTCTGTAAATATATAGCTAAATAACTGTTACTTAATAAAGTTCAACAAACAGCTAGAAGAGTATTGTGTTTCCCGCAGGGAAAATATCTTGCACCGTATATTAAATATATGGATAAACAATCTGAATTTCTATTATTTCCTACAATTTACTGTGGGAAAACCAGAGTTGTAACTACTTGATCATTTTCTAAACAACGTTCCCAGGAGTTCTTTCTATAGACTGATAGTAATTATTCTAGTACTTTCCAACGTGTAAATAGGACATTCAATGTCATTTTCGATTCTTTTAAGTCTCACTGCCTAACTAATGCCAGTATCAACAGAATGTGCCGCAGCATTACTATCTCTTAGATACCCTAGTTTTATATGGTCTATTCTGATGTGAGATCCCATTTGCGTGGACGCACGGAATGAACGTTTGCCCAGATTTGTGTGCATTTTCTGACTTCAATATTCGGTCTCGTAAATGGACACAAACATATTGACATTTCCTTATTGCAGGGTATTCACTTGGGAAAACCAGATAATTGTCCAGACTTTATATACGGGATCATGAAAGATTGCTGGATCAGAGAACCAGAAAAGCGTGTTCAATTCACGACAATAAGTAGGCGTCTAAAAGATCCGTACCATGATTACGACGAACCGCCTTCAGACAGCGAAGACGGACCTGAACAGATAAAGACTGCTAGGCCAGGTAAATAGACATAATCTGAGCATCTTGTTAAAACGAGTAAACATATAAATTAATTAATTAAACGGGTTCAAAAGGTCATGGTTTTGTGATCTGTGATTGGTAGATTTCGATCCGTTTTGTGTGTTTCTGTGTTTCAAGGTTCGTTGCTTGTGATCGTAATTATGATTGACGGCAGCGAAAAACGCAATTGTGAAAGCGGCTTTTGAAGTTTAGAGTTCGCGTGTTTGTGGAAAGCGCAGCTAAGATGACTGGCGGCAGCGAAAAACTTAAACGTCAGTTGGCTTTTGAGCTTCAGAGTTCGGCGAGTGTTTTTGAAAAGCGCAGTAATTAATTAAACAAATTTCAGTTTTAGCTTTCAAAAGCTGATGCCATCGCTATCGTTAAAAGATCATAAAAAAATCGACAATGGTATTTTTTTTTTCTTTTTTAATTTTTTGATACAGTTGTCGGTTCATTGAGATAGTCAGTTGGGCTTTAATGTGACGTCGGGTTTTTACGTCACGGTATCTGCAGTTTAACCGAAAAAAAACTGAGCTATAGCGTGTCTTTGCATCAATCAAGTCCCTAATCATAACTATAACAAAATTCTTAAATCTGATTGGCTATCAACTGCACCGATTTCAGCCTCAATAGGACAGTTAAATAGAACAGTACGCGTCATGCCTAAGTAATTGGACAGTACGCGCCATCACCCGCGCGCTTAAATGGCTTTTTTTGTTTCACTGCTAGCAAAAAAGAAATCTCGGAATTTCTTGTCTTTTGATTAAATAAAGAGCCTCATATATCACAAATTTTGTTAAAGTTATGATTAATTGGTAACAGAACTTCGTGTCGTCCAATTCGGTCTGTAATCATACTCGTGATTAAACAAATCGGACTCCCGCTACGAGGTCGTCCGATTTTGTTAATCACTCGTATGATTACAGACCGAATTGGACTCCAATCAGTCCTGTTACCTTTACAAACATAATGGTCCAGATTACATGTAGGTATTGAAACTGTTTTCTGATGTCTGTTACAACGGAAGGCAAGGATGAACATGGATTGAAACTTGAAAAAATTTGGGCCTGACACCGTAATATCCTCTATTAAGCNGTAAGAACTTTCGTGAGCAGATGTTCCGGGACTATCGTAATTACGGGTAGGAGGGGTCCTGGGAATGTCATTGTTTCCAGTTTCTGGGAGAAAGAAATGCAGGCATCTGAATACACGCCAACTTCCATGACACTATGGGGTGTGTATGGAAATCAAAGTTGTATTTTCCGTCCCCCACCCCCCACCACCTCAGAGGGTAAGGGCATTTCTTTAAAAGTGGAGGGTGTTTTAAAAAGTTGTAAAAGGCCCCCCCTCTAAATTGAGTAACCCCCCCCCCCCTTTTAAATAAACCCTTCCTCTTTTTTAAGTCCCCCCCCCTTCTTTAAAATAAGCCCCTTTCCTCCGGGGGGGGGGGGGGGGGGGACGGAAAATACAACTTTGATTTCCTTACACACCCCATAGGGTCATGGAAGTTGGCGTGTATTCAGATGCCTGCATTTCTTTCTCCTAGAAACTGGAAACTATGACATTCCCAGGACCCCTCCTACCAGTAATTACGACATTCCCCGAGCATCGGCTCACGAAGGTTCTTACGACGTTCCACGATCATACGAAGATTTAACAGCCGAGGAAAACTTGGATAAAGATGGACTTGTCCCTAGAGATATTCCAGTGTAGTTAAATTTGTAATTTTAATTATTTAATCTCGTTACCAGCTTCTTTCAGCTGTTTTATTGCAAAAGGGAACTGGAATCGATTTTTAAATCACTAAGCGTTCCCTTATCATGACAATTACAAGACATACTTTTGTTCTTCGCAATGGGGTGCGTCATTTGATCGATTCATTGTCCATCATACAGGTAATTACGAGAGCAGTTCAATGATTGACAATATTTAGAGGTGACAGAATTTTCTGGTGCGTTTGTCCAAGATTTTTTCAAACTCAGCTGGCTAGCACGAAGTCTGTTAGACCCAGCAACTTCTAGTCAGCCCCCCTCCCCTGATAGGATTTTACCAAATTTTCGTTTAATGAATGGGGCTGTGACAATCAAATGAGTATAATAGAGCAATAACTTTAGGAAACTTGTTCTTAAGATTTCTGGTTAACGGGGCCTTTTTTACTTCCCATCATCGCCATTCCATCCAATTCAATGAAATCCATAAGTGAGTTAATTTTACATAAATGTAAGTGATTTTACTTTCCCTCTAGCTAGTATAGCAAACAGGCAATTGAATTTTTTTATATATGTTTAATAAATTGGTTCCTTTTTTCGACTTTTCCCTAATAACTTGCGTGTTTTAAACAACTTATGTAAAATCACTGGTATACCTGACACATGGTATACAAAAAATCACTGGTATACTTGCTGTACATAACTAATTCTAATTTTACATTTAATTTTATTTTTCCATTCACCTATGATCCAGATTTTGAAATTCAATGTCTAAACCAATTTTATTATTGGTAAAGGATAAATGGAATTTTTAGCGATTCTCTAGTTTTGTACGCACATTATTTTTACAGGCTTTCTTTTGAAGATATTTCTATTACGGACACCATTGACAAATTAACGGAAAGCTTAGTAAAATAAAAGATCCTGTATTTTTTTTTATTATTTTCGTTACTGATGAGTCAATTTTAATTTAGTATTATTGAGAATCGCTGGTTTCAAGATCCACTGAAGAAACCGTGTACTTTAAAATTAGCCGAATAGATTGAAAAAGTTATTTGAAATATCAAACACCATTCAAATTGGTCGAGCATTCATTATTTTGCCAGATGATGCCCTTTCAGTAGTCCAGACCTAACAATAAAAACACTTTTCATTATCCGCAGTTTACTTGGTGTTGTGCGTGTTGGTCTTAGTCACTTGCCTTCAGAAAAGGTTATCTGTGAGACAAGACATTAGTGTCGCCGAAATTGAACGAAAAGAATTAGATTTGATATGATTAACATAAGCAGACTACCATACGTAATTCCTCCTTTTTCGATGATAGTGGTGGCAGGGGGAGGGGGTGTTTCTTGGTTTGCGGAAACTATAGTGTTTTGACATGACGTCACGTCCGCCTCATCGGTGTCCAGAGAAAAGGAAACGATGGTCACCATCATCATCATCATTGTTAACCGGTTATCATGGTTTCAGCACGAAACCTAGTTCCCAGGTCCCCCTCCCCTGGGAATGAGGTTATTCATTTTGTCGTGTGAAATTTTCCCCAGTCTTTCTCTTTACCTTACACTGCGCTCTTGCTGTGCAGAGAATTAAGTGAATTCCGCTTAATCGTGCTATAAATCAGTTTCCTGGAGAATTACACTATAGCTTAGAAAATAAGCTTTTTTCGGATAAAACAGGTATAAAACTCCTGATCAACAACGACGAGCATCTGGTTACAGAAACCGAGACATCACATATCAGATTATTGTGTTTTGGTACCTTTCTTGGCTAAGCATGGAAAAGGTTTATCAACATTTTCTAACATTATTTCTGTCAGGATTATTTATGTGTTACGCCCTAACTGAAGGTAAGCTCTTTATGTTGTACTGAATTGCGAAAGATTCTGAAAATAGCGGTTTGGTAATAAATTAAAACCCATGCTTCGTCTATTTCTCTTCCCGGAAGTTAAGCAAATGAACATCGTGCGCGTTTTTCCCCTGAGACTGATTACGTAAAGGAAAGATACTACAAAGTGATAAAAATTGACTCTATTACCTGAACGGATTATAGTATTGTCGCGGAGATTGGGAGCTCACTAGCCTTGTGTCGCCGTACGCGATGAAATCAGCAAGCCGAGCATTGAAACGCGTAAAATTTACAATCGAATAGCCTATCATGACGTAATCATGACTCAGCTGAGCTATGTTGATCATATATGTAGTTTATTGGTATGCTTTTTTCACTGCTTCACTTGTGTATGGATCGTTTTTAGTCACGTAGTCAGCAGCTTTGCAAATTGCTTGGAATAAAAGAAAGGTTTACAGTCAAACCAGGTGAAGCGTATCCCCCCAAGAATCCATTAATGAATTTATTATTCAAAAGTTGAATCCGTTGCTAGTAGATTTCAGATTGATCTCTGCATTCTTGTATGTGTAATGAGCCTAAAAAGCTTAATCCATTCCAAGATTTCCAATCTGACCAAATTACAGAGAAGTTCTCGTAAAATATTCACTGTTCATTACCCATGCAGAAATGCCGCTTTGAATTTGACACCAGTTACGGGAACGACTGACGGATTCATTTTTCAAATAGTCAATTCACTGATAGAATCTTGGGGGGTACGCTTGACTTGGTTTGACTGTAACATGTGAAAAGAGTTCAATTCCCACAGGATTTTTTTTGTACTCAAACATGGCCGCTGTTACGTCATGTGAAAACGCAAAACTAGATGCACCACCACATGGATTTTCTATTCATGTTCCATCTGAATCGTAAATATCATCCCTGGGGATTAATTAATGATATGCAAATGAGTATATATAATAGGAAACACTGGCATGCATTGTCCCATTCGCTTCACTTTGTCCAACAGGAAGTACATTGGCGAGTGGCGACCCACCCACCCTCCCCAGCCAGTAAGTCGGGTTCCAGATTACCTATTCATGTATTCAATTCAGTCTGTCTTGGGCTTGTCCCAGGTCAGTTTGACTCCCCATACCTTATTATAATGTCATGAATAACAATACCCAGGGATGAATATTATACTATTCAAGTACAAACTTCTTGCCTCCTCTTCCTGAAACTTATGTGGCAGCCTACTCTTCACGATTCAATTTTTTTAGTGTTCTCTTCCTTATTCTAAGTCAAGAAACTTATATTGGCCTTCTTTTCATTGAAAAGGAAGAGTACAAATCACTTTTTGTGACGTTGACGACCTCAACAGGAACGGAAATTAACCTGACGTCTCCTATTGCTGGATTTCAGTGTCACGCCATTCGAAATAGATCAAAATAATAATCAAAACCATTCGATAGATAAAGTCCAGAATCTGGGAAATGAAGGGAGGTAAATGTACAAAGACCCTAGCCAAGATTTGGGTCGAAGGAATAATTTGTATACGAGATATCCGAGGAAATGTTTTACCCAAATTTATAGAGCTTTGTGTGGAGACGCCATCCTGGAGCTCATCCGGATGAGCTCCAACATGGCGGACGGAAACCAACAGAAACATCTGTTACCGAGTTTTGCTACAAAAGCGTGAATTTACTCCTAGAGGAACTCATAAACATTAAAGTAATACTTTTTCTAATACTTTAACTGTTTAGACAGCAAAATTCCTCGAAAACAGTCACTTTTTAAACCTAAATGACAGCTCTCTCGGCCGTCATGTAAATGCTGCGTCACGCAAAAGCTTAGAAATTCAGGCGTACTCTTTTACAAAACCAAGAAACCTTTTGAAGCGAAAATTTGTTCGAAAATTCGTGTCTGAAGCTATCTCCTTGATCTTTCACACACGCTTTTAAAAAGATTGAAACTACCCTGAGGTGAAATTGCATGTCAAAAGCGCTTCGTTCTCTACAGATAACAGCCGAACACCAAGATTCTCTATTTTTTACTGTATTTCTAACCACAAACTCTTTATCCCAAAATATCTCGATAACGCTCTTACAGATTTCGCTTAAACTTCACGAACGTCGAGGCTGCTATTGGAGGAAAAAGCTCTCGCGAATGATTTTCGAAGAACAGTTCCTAGTGCCGAGATATACTGCTGTAAGTAAAACAGCTAATAGCGTCATTTCGTTGCTATGACAACTTCTATGACGTTGCAACCCTGATCATAACAAATTTCCATCTTCATCTAATACAACTGTGATGGTAATTTTTCCAAAACTTTGTTTATGGCGACGTAGTTTATGCTCAAACTTGGGAGGTATTGGTCCTGAAAAACTGTATCGAGCCACCTTAATACACCATGAAAGAAAAATCTCAGTAGGAAGGATAGTTTTGTAGTTTTAATTTTAGTGGCGTCATGTATTTATACCAGAAGACGTCTTAGACATCCAGACGCATTAAACGTCTAACTTTTAAGTGCATCGTTAAGTGCGTCCCGTTTTTATACTAGACGTCTTAGGCCCGGTTCAGACGCCGCTCCACTCAAGTGCCGAACCTAACTGATGAATTAAGTAAGGCAAAAGAGCGGCGTCTGAATCAGTTTGGTACGGCAGTTTTAGTTTGGTGCGGCAAAAGCGTTAAGTTCGACAGAGTCTGTCGAACGTTTGTCGAACTTAACTTAGGTTCGACGCACGGTACGCCGTCTGAATCAAATGTCGCGCCAGTGTCGCTCCAAAGTCGAACTTATTCAGTTAGGTTCGGCACATGAAAAGTACAGCGTCTGAACCAGGCCTTAAACGTCTGAGACGACGAATTCATCTGTTAAAAGCATCGATCGGACGCACTTAACTTCAGGCGTTTAATTCGTCTGACGTTAAATTCGTCTGCCTTATTTCCCGTATTTATACTAGACGTCTAAGTCGTCTAAGACGTCTTAGACGTCCTCTAGTATAAATACGGCTATTAATGTGCCAACCAGATGCGCATTGATTGGTTCATGAAACAAAAGATTATTATTTTTTTCACTCGACAAATGTAAATTACAGCAATTAAAACAATCCCAATGTCTATAAGTTACTAAAGTGGGCAACGGGCAACGGGCGATGAGCGACGGGCGACGGGCGACGAGCGACGGGCGACGGGCGACGGGCGACGGGCGACGGGCGACGGGCGACGGGCGATGAGCGACAAGCACCGGGAATTGGAAAATAAGACTGGTAACAAACCCTTAACAACCCCTTGCCCTATCAGTAAATTAATTTCTAATTCTCTCAGTTTTTTTTTTGTTCCTAGAATTTTTCGGGAATTCTCGTCGGACTATGAGCAAGGCCGGTACAATATTCAAACCCGGAAGAGATTTACCTCAGACAATATCAATCCGTAAACCGGAGATTTCGTGCCAAATTATTTTTTCGTACACTCTTTCTATATTTGATAACTACTAACTTATAAAAATCTTTTTTATGTTTTGTTTTGTTTTTGGCAAGATGAAATTATAGTGATAAAGGGCAGGCTACTCAGTCAAAAAAAGTGTGTCAGGAATAAACTGAGTTGTGAACTTGTCCAATGTTTTCCTTGAAACTTTTACTTAAAAGGTACTTTGACACTTGCAGCTCAACTGCGTCATAAGCATATTAAGAAAAAAAGAATTTATCAAATAAACAAAGTGATAAAATAATAAATTAAGGAAAAAATCGGGGAAAGTGCAGCAAACAAAATAACTCGCCTTCGCTTAACGTCCTCGTAGTTCCGTTTTGGGTCCATTTCGTATCCGTGCGCCAACGACAACCACACGCTTTTCAAGAGAACAACTTCCTGAATAATAAATCTCTACAAAAACATACCACACTAAAAGGAGAGCTTAAAACCAACAATTTTTTTTCTTCTTTTCAGCTACGCAACACAATTGTTCTGCAATACGCGATGAGGAGAAAGTTGGATGTGTTCTCCCACATCCTAAGAATCCAAATGGTACAGTTTGTTTACTTCACGGCTGTTGCTGGAATCCAGCGGAACAAAACATGAGACTAAAATGTTTCACAAAAAGGTAGGTTTATCCTTAACAGATGTTGTGAGAAAAAAATATCAAATGACCAAATGGCAGATTCTGGGTTCAATTTTCAACATTCACGATCCTCGGACGCGGTACGATAGGGGGTGGCAATCACCCCCTCTGAGTTTTTTTTTTTTCTAGTTTTGTCCTAAACGATAAAACATCAGCAGCTGACGTTTTTCAGTATCTGTTCGTTTATCCCTCGTGCGCATTTTGAGACAAGTTTAGTGATAGTCAGATACTATGGTTCCGAGATATGAAGTCATAAAGAGCAGGTGGTCAAGCCATTTTTGAGTGAAAATGCATGTTTTTCAACTTCTTTCAACAATACAAGTAAAGCTTGTGGATGAAATGACGTAAAGTGCTTATTTATGTTTTATTTTAATTGACAAGCACAAAAAATTACCATTTATCGGGGTTTTAACCGGATTTCGAATTTTTTGTAACATCCAAGATGGCGACCATTGTTGGTGACGTCACAGGCCTCCAGCAGCGCCACCACCCAATAAAATATACCTCATCTTGTAGAGAAGATCGAAGGCTTTCCACTGAAGGCAATAAACGTAATACTGTCTACTGTTTCGAAATACTGTAACATATCAAAAACTCGGGAGGGTTCCTTCAACCCCCCTCTTGTCTCTTGTACCACGTTGGGGATATGAATTTGCGTGTACGTCCGAGGTTTAAAATTTCATACCTTGCAGAATGTTTTTGCCTCCTAAGCATCCTTTATACACAGGTTAAGTTTTCTATCACGATTACCTTGATTTATACGGGTTTTAAGGTATAATTTAATTATTTTAAGAATTCAGATTAGCGGATCCAAGATGGCGGATAGTTTCAGTTCTTTCTTTAAGAATAAATGACGTCATTATGACATCACTGCTATTGTAAAAGATTATTTATGTGTTAGCCAACTTCTTGATTTAATTTATCAGAGACCTTGCAAATTAAGCATTTTCGCTTTATGGCTTCTTTTAGGGAAATTTGGATTCTGCAAGTAACTGATTCAACAATTTGAAGTCATGTAATGATGTAAAGCTTCATTAGATTCTCATACTGATGTCCTTTTCGTCAAAGAACAGAAGTTTTTAGAATTCTCTGATATTTATATATACCAAAAAGGTTAATTTATGTATCTTTTTAAAAGAGTGTTAATTCTTAATTATTATCGTGATAGGTTTATTCTTCCAAGCCAGATACATTTGCATAATACAAGAAATTTCAAGCTTTTTTCTTTCTTTTCTTGTTTCTCCCTAATATTTGATTCCTTGTCGTACTAACATTCGAAAATTCTCAATTTGGTTTCAAGGCCCTAAGTTTTTCAACTCGGTAAGTCGTGAAATTCAAAACAGTGAAGGTTTTAGCCTATTTATAGCCGTCCCCTCCCCCTCTCCGATTTGTTCTGAGGGGAGGTGGCGGCTGTACACTGGTTAGGAATAGCTTCGGTTTGTTTGGCAAAAGATTTAAAAATATACATATAATTCTTTCCTAGTCACAAATACTCTTTGTGGTTACATACAGTGGAACCTGTATAGAACGAACCTCTATAACAAACGATTTTCTTTACCCCAGTAATGGTAAAATATATGAATAAGAACCTCGATACAACGAAACCTGGTCATAGCAAACAAAATATGCCAGTCCCTTGGCCCTTCGTTATCAGTTGAGGCTTCCCTTGTACTTTTCCTTTTCTTTTTTTTTATGGTGATACATTTTTTTCATACGGTAACCTTAATTCACATGGTGTATCCTATATTCTTAGGAATCCTATAATTCATAAGCCCCCGGTTTCCCTATAAGCTTCCTTGCCATTTCCATTTTGAACATTTATAAAATGTTTCATTTAGAATAGTGTTTAGCATCTTTAACATATTATAAAGTTATTGTGTTTTGTAAATGTATTGTATGTGGTTGGTGGCAAAATAAATGAATGAAACAAAATTGACACTGCATGGAACCATGTTTCAGTAATTAAAATAACAGCAACAATGTTTTTGGTACCTTCCTTCATACTTTCACGGTTGAAAAAAAATTTCAATTTTTTTTTTCAGCGGTGGCACATGCATGCCTTATGCAGGAAAAGTTTGCCAGGAGTCAATAAACACAACACTCGGCTCTTACAGGAACACTCCGCGCTTCATTGACAACAAATTTGGCCAGTTGGGTACTGAAACATTCCTGCAGATTGGTACAAATATAATAAACAGTTTTGTTAAAAAAGATGACAGAAAGTGTCGGTATATTATACACAACATGTTGTGCCAGTACACTTTACAGCCTTGCTACCCGGATAACACGGTCGTGGAATACTGTAAGGAAGATTGTGAAGCCATATTCAGAGACTGCCAGGAACCGCTTAATCAAGTTATTGGTGCTATTAAGTTCCACGTGCAGCAAAATGGTCTTGATTTTGTACATACGGGGCTACCAGACTGTACCCGACATAAACCTGCCAAATATTTTGACAACTTGCCAAACAGGACGTGTATCAAGACCGGGTTCTTTGGTAAGTAGTCTTTCTTGTTTGATATTCCTTTAGGCAGTTTTCACAACTGGTTCCTGGACACGGTGTAAAACTAAGAAAATATTTTGACAATTTGCCAAACAGGACATGCATCAAAACTGGGTTATTTAGTAAGCAGTCCTTGTTTGTTCAACTTAAAGAGTACTTACCGCAATAAAGCCTCTTTGTATTTGTGTTTCTGCTTAACGGTGACATTTACCTGAGCGGACATGATAATAGTAGATGGCAGACTGGGCATGTAGTCACGTGATTATCAAAATTACTCCGCATGTGGCGCTCCGCTATGACTTGCCTTGTGGCCTGTGACGCAGGGAAAACGCTGCTCGTACCTATATGTTGGATTGCAAAAGGCATCTTTCTGGCGAACACAGAGGTAAAGACAAAGAAACAGATACATGCCACGAAACAGTGGAGCTCTAGAAAGACTTCTGTATTCCTTGACCTGCGAAATATACCGTTGGCAGCGTCTTCGAATTGATTTCCCTATTTTGCGCGAGGAGGCCAAGAAAAGGCAAAGGACTATCGTATCTTGACGTAATTTTAAGTTGCATCAGTTTTACAGTAACTCTGTTTGCACTTTCTCAAATTCGAGGAGAAAAAGCTCAAAAGCTTTTCTTTTTCTTTTTCCTTTTCTAGTTATGAAAGAAAAACAACAAGAACAAAAAGACGAAAAACAAACAAAAATACCCGTTTCTCTAATTCATGATTTGACGACCTTCGCCTTATACCGACTCTTAGACTTGCTTCAAGTCGACCTCTCGTAAGTTTTAAAAGCGAGCGAAGCGAGCTTCAATGAGAGCGCGCAGGGCATAACCAACCACGAAAAAAATTAAAGAACTTTTAGAAAGTCTAACTGATGCTATGTGTTTGTTCAATTAACAGGTTACACTGAGCCCGTAACAGAACCTGGGTGGAATTTTTCCAAAACGAAAACACGTATCACAGAGCCAGCCACAGAACCAATCACAGGGCCAAATGAAATACCAATTTGTCCAACATCATCTTTCCCAGCGGATAATAACAAACCACTCATAATCATCTTCCTCGTGGTCATTGGGTTATTTTCATTGTGATTTGTTTTACTGTGTTCAGTTTTCGTCAACAAAAAAAAGAAAGAAAAAAGAAAAGACGATGTGGATAATGCGCATAAGTCAGATTTAACTTGTATTTAGTGGTAACGTTATTTAAAACAGTAGGCTAAACCTTTTGCTAGAGACGTTTCATCAGGCAGTACTTCAGTAAATACGTAATACGCGATGTTAAAGAGTATTTAACGTAACATATAACTGGAACGAAATAAAATGTCTCTGTTTGGTTATTTGTAGCGACAATTACCTTTCAGCTTGTACAAGTCATCAAGAACGAATCATCAGTGTCGTTGCTTCGCCAAGTAAAAATCAGGTGTCAAATGGATATCTCAGCTAAACAACTAGGAGAGTTGCTAGTTTTTCGGACTTTGAGGATTATCGGGTATTGTATAATGGGAAAACACACGAAAGCGAAGGAATTAAACTAAGTCATGTGGAAAACAACGAAATTTAATCTCACAGGCTTCGTAGAATACTCTTGTAACGTTTATTGTGATTTTTCTGCAGTCATGTAAAATTCCTTTTTCCTAATGGTATAAAAAGCACTTTTTCTCTGATGTTCAAACTGGACTGTTCACAAACCCATAATACTTTTTCGTGCGATTACGATTTGTCACCGATCTCGAGAGGCTGCCATTTTATGGGGATAGTCAAAACAGCCTATATTGGCCGTATTCACACTGAGACGGATTATCCGTCTGAAACGGGTTATCCGTTGGATAATTCGCGTCAGACAGCGGATAATACGTTTTAATTTTAAAATGGAAGGGTCTTAATTTTGGATGGACAATCCGCCTGACTTTACCCATCTGTTTTTCCGTCAATTTCGACGGATTTTGAAGCTGGATTATCTATCGAGACGGATTATCTGTCTCTAGTGTGAAACCGGCCATGGACAAAATGGAAGGTGGTGTGGGTGGGGGAGGAAGGGGCACCTCTGATGCCGCAACTCCCGCTTACACCGGTAATTCACACCCTCCCCAGTGTTCCTTCACCTTGCGAAAACAAGATAACGAACTAAAACATCGCACGGAGAATAGGGCTGTAGGCACTATATCTTTGTAGAGACAACCGGGACCTTCCTTAGTTTCAAGTCAGCAATACGCACGCTGTTGTCTTGATTTTCGACCGGAAGTCAAAATAATTTATCATTAATTTGGATAAAATAATTGTACTCTATCTTGCAATGGAAAGTTTCTACGCCTTCCACGCATTTAAAATAAAATTATTTTGGGATTGCCTAAATTTCACGTGAGTTCCTCTCCGTCGAGAGTCGTGCTATCACCAAGTTGGATCCCTGAGTTTTCTTTTGTTTCATCTTCATCCTCATCAATATCATTATCTTCGTCTTCTTCGCCGTCGTCTTCGTCATCTTCGTCATCATCATCGCCATCGTCTTCGTCTTCATCATCATCTTCGCTAACCTCTTGTCCTGCATCTCTCGCAAGTTTCTAAATTTATAAAAGAAACAGAAGTAAAGATCAAACGTTCTGCAGCCCGCGAACAAGCTCTCCATCTGGTACAACTACAAACTAAAGCTACGAGGACGCACTAGTTTGGTACCGTAAAATTCCGAAAATAAGCCCCCGGGCTTATATTTTCCAAAGGCCCTTTTTGAGGGGCTTATTTTTGGAGGGGCTTATATTCGGAGGGGCTTATCTACGGAGGGAAATTTGCGTTTCACACTCGACTGGGTTAGCCTCATAGTTGGAAGTAAATCTACCTTTTTTGCTTTGTTTTATTTTGTATTTGAGAGCAATTTTCCAAGTACAAGCCCCCGGGGGGCTTATATTTGGAGGGGCGATTTAACGGAGGGTCTTGTGCGTTACCGGTTTGGGGAGCTTATATTTGGAGGGGCTAATACATGGAGGAGCTTAGTTTCGGAATTTTACGGTATAATCTGGAAGTTACGTAAAGCGAACAAGAGAACTCCCATTTCAGTATCAGGTTCTTTCTTTCGGTGCATAAGTGCGTCAATAGAGAACTTTAGATTCTAAGACGAGGACGACCACGAGAACGCGATTTTCTTGACACTAAGTAGTGAACTTGCGCGAACCAACGTCATTTTGGCGGGAAAATGTGGTAGCCGTCATCAGTCTACTACGAAGTTTTAGCCAGAATGTCGTAGTGGCGAAAACAAGTTATCAAATATTCGGAATTTTATCATTTAGCGATCGGGGAAGGGCTTTAAAACCTCCTTCAAAGGAAATAAGCGTGCTAACTTTGGTGGAGAAAAAGTACAATGAAGCTTTCCGGGGTGTCTATTTTAGAGAATAGGCGAGAAAACTTAAAATTAAATGTCGTCCTCCTCCTCGAATCTAAAGTTCTCTAAAGCAAAGCGAGATCAGCTGGGGGTGGGGAGATAAGGGACGGAAATGGCCTTTTTGTATTCTTGGGCAGCAGTTTTTACCCCAAATTTTCGGGCGAACCGTCTCTTTAAGAATAAACACTTAATACAGTGGAACGTCGATATAACGAAGTGCTAAGACACTGGCAAAATTTGTTCGCTATAACGACGTTTCCTTATATCGAGGTTCTTTCCCATATATTTTACTACTGTCAGGTTCGTGATATCGAAGTTCCACTGTACATTTAACAACATCAAGGCATGCGCTTCCGGTTGGCTTGCGTCGCTCAAAAACGCCTTTGCTTAAGCCCTCTTTTTCTCTCGTTCGCCTGATCTCGACCACAACACCCTTGCTTCGTTTTGCTTAGGTCAAATGGAAGAGCGACGTTTTGAATATGAAAAACAGGATAAAGTGAACAGGGCAACCAACACCATGATTCGATCAGAAATTTTGGCGATGTCAGTGACTATGAAAATCAGAATAAATACGAGAAAATACCTTGTACTTCATCACTTTAGCATCCTGCTCGGTCAGCATAACCAGCAGATCTTCGTGTTCTTTGTCTAGCTCTGCTTTCTGCGTAACTATTGTATTCAGTTCTGTCTGTGTTGCGGCTAACTTTTCCTCGAGTAACCTGATTTTATCATGGCTTTCAGTTCGAGCTCTTTCTAACTCGGCTTTCACTTCATCTGTACTGTTGGTGGGCGTATTGAGTGCTTCATCTCTCTAAAGAAAATACAACCGGATTCTTATACGTTTCTGGAAAACTGCTCACCTACCCCTCCCCTAAGCTAACATTTTGCCTAAGCGAAAAGTAAATGTTCATTATACGTTTCTGGGAAACTGCTCACCTACTCCTCCCCTACGCCAACATTTTGCCCAAAGTGAGAAGTAAGTGTTAATGTTGGATAAGGGGAGGGGTAGGTGGTCAGTTTCCCAGAAACGTCCCCATACGAGAAGCAAGGCGCGCAAGGAGACAAGACAGACAACAGAAATTACGCTGGACCTCTGCTTTTCGAACACCGTTTCGAGGGCCTAGCGCACTCAATCTCTAGAGGTTCTGTAGAAGGAAGTCAACGCTGATTGATTGAAACACCAATGATTAAAGATCAGAGACACAAAAGAATTTCCCTCTTGGATCTATCAGGTTCCAGAGAAATAATTAAAACTACGTAGATCATACGCTGGATTCTTACCACTGCCTCGATTTCATTCTCAAGGTCTGTATTTAATGACCTCAACACGTCCAACTCCTCGTGCAGTGACGTCACAGTCCGCCTCAGCTGTTCCAGTTCTTCAAGCTGCTGACTGGTGAGGCTCGCTGACGCGGAGGAGAGATCCGTCGTGTCTGAGCCTGCGAGTTCAGCGGCTGCGTGAGCTACCGCTAAAGATGCCTGAGAGACCTCTAGGTCTTTTTCCTAACAATAAAATAGTCGATAAAACNTTTAGCATCCTGTTCAGTCAGCATAACCAGCAGATCTTCGTGTTCTTTGTCTAGCTCTGCTTTCTGTGTAACTATTGTATTCAGTTCTGTCTGTGTTGCGGATAACTTTTCCTCGAGTAACCTGATTTTATCATGGCTTTCAGTTCGAGCTCTTTCTAACTCGGCTTTCACTTCATCTGTACTGTTGGTGGGCGTATTGAGAGCTTCATCTCTCTAAAGAAAATACAACCGGATTATTTTACGTTTCGGAGAAACTGCTCACCTACCCCTCCCCTAAGCCGACATTTTGCCTAAGCGAAAAGCAAATGTTCATTATACGTTTCTGGGAAACTGCCCACCTACTCCTCCCCTACGCAAACATTTTGCCAAAAGTGAGAAGTAAGTGTTGATTCCCAGAAACGTCCCCATACGAGAAAGCAAGGCGCGCAAGGAGACAAGACAGACAACAGAAATTACGCTAGCCCTCTGCTTTTCCAACACCGTTTCGAGGGCTTAGCGTACTAAATCTCTAGAGGTCTGTACAAGGAAGACAACGCTGATTGGTTGAAACACCAATGATCAAAGATCAGAGACACAAAAGAATTTCCCTCTTGTATCAATCAGGTTCGAAAGAAATCATTAAAACCACATAGATCATACGCTCGTTCTTACCACTGCCTCGATTTCATTCTCAAGATCTGTATTTAATGACCTCAACACGTCCAACTCTTCGTGCAGTGACGTCACGGTCCGCCTCAGCTGTTCCAGTTCTTCAAGCTGCTGACTGGTGAGGCTCGCTGACGCGGAGGAGAGATCCGTCGTGTCTGAGCCTGCGAGTTCAGCGGCTGCGTGAGCTACCGCTAAAGATGCCTGAGAGACCTCTAGGTCTTTTTCCTAACGTTAAAATAGTCGATAAAACATTAATCGCGATCGAACAAATTTTCTCAGTTCTCTACGAAAATAAGTAGCCTGAAAAGCCTTTTTTCCCTTTTTTTCGCGTTTTGCAGGCGAGTCAAGGCAAGCGCGAGCAACGCGCGAAAGGGGGGGGGAGGGGAGTTGGGAGGAGGATGTTCCGTCGCGCGAGTCTCGCGAGACGGGGCATCCTGCGCTTCTCCATGCTTGCCTGAAAAACGTGGATAACCACAACAAAAATTTGTTTCTCCAGCTCAAACCATAGGAAAAGTAAGGGCGCGTTCTTTGTGAGAAAACTAAAA